GCGGCATGCACCACAACTGGGGAGCATCCTCTCCCGGTGAGGAGAGATGCCGTGATGTGCACCGGGGGCACGCAGCTGCTCTGTCCTCCTTCCAGGGAAAGGCAAAAAATGTGGCTTGGCTGACCTGAAGGGCTCGATGAGCCGGGCAGCAGGGAAGAAGATCACCAGGATTATCAGCTTCTCCAAGAAGAAGCCTTCCCCTGAGGACACGCAGACCTCCTCCACCGAGGAGGACATCCCCTGCTGCGGTTTGTGTGGGCTGGGGGCACAGATGGGGCTCAGCTCACACGGGACTGGGAGCGATGGGGAGCTGCCGTCCTTCCCCCAAGCCTGGCCGTATGGGGGGCAGGTGGGGTGTAAGGGGGCGTGGAGGCAAGCTCAGCAAGCTGCAGGAGGGCGGTGACACTGCCTCAGACTACGAAACGGTGCCCAGTCCCAGCTCTGCAAATTCCCATGATTTGTGCGGAGGGGGCAAGGGGTCACCCATGTCCTCCCAGAAAACAGTCTCAGGTGACAGTGTGGCACTGAACTGGCATCTCACCTGGGTCCAGTGGTCCCATCTGGCTTACTGTGGGGAAACTGAGGCACGGAAGGACCAAACAAGTAGGGAGCCCTGTCTCATTAGAGCTTGCCCAAGGTCTGAGCAGGTGCTGAGACCCTTCTCTTGGCCCTGCCATCCTCCAGGCCACCTCAGCGTCCTGGTTAACCAGTGCTGGAAGGAGCGCTGGTGTCGCCTGAAGGGCAACACCCTCTACTTCCACAAGGACCGCACGGACCTGCGGACCCACGTGAACGCCATCGTCCTCCGGGGCTGCGAGGTGGTCCCAGGGCTGGGCCCCAAACACCCCTTCGCTTTCCGCATCCTTCGCAATGGGCAGGAGGTGGCAGCGCTGGAGGTGAGCAGGCAGCGGGGTGGGCAGCGTGTGCCGGTCCTGGGAGGAGGGGGTCGCCAAGCTGGGGGAGCACCTTCTGTGGTGATCAATGCTTGCATGCAAGCAGTGCCTTGTTTTCCCCTCCCCGTCACCTTAAGGAAGCCCAGGGCACCGTTTGGGTGAGGCGGGGGGGGCAGGCTGGGGGCAAGGAGGAGGCTGGCAGGGCTGATGCAGGCAGGCTGCAGGGTGTGGCTGGGGGTCTGGGACTGGGACCTCTTGCATATGCCCATGTGCTCTCTCTTGGACCCTCCTAAATCTTGCACACATGCTTCATGTTAGAGGGTTCTGCTCCACAGCAGAGCTTTGTGTCGGAAGGCAGGAGCGAGGGGCCAGGAGCTGGGCATGCACCCCAGCCCTTTCTCTCTCCTGCAGGCAAGCTGCTCTGAAGACCTGGGCCGCTGGCTGGGTCTCCTTTTGGTGGAGACGGGCTCGCAGACGGCACCGGAGGCCTTGCACTATGACTACGTGGACGTGGAGACAATTGCCAACATAGTGACGGCTGTGAGGCACTCCTACCTGTAAGGCTGTGCTCCTGCTGTGCCATGGCTGGGAATGTGCTGTGCCAGGGGCAGAGCATTGGGCTGGGGGTGGCGACCCTCAGTCCCATGTGTTCCTTAGAAAAGGCACGGGCTGGGACATAGTTTGTGCTGTGGTCTCGGGGAGAGCTAGTGTCCCAGGGGTTGGCGGTTCCCAAAGCAGGGCAGTCTCCCTTGGGCAGGATGGAAAGTGGAAGGTGTTTCATTAACGCTGATGAAGGACTTAAGGGTTACGTGTGGGAGGGTAAAGTAGGGTAGGGTAGAGCGCTTATGAGTGAAGCTGGGACAGCAATGCAGGAAGCCCTCTGAGATATAAGGGCTTCCTGGGGGGCTGGCAGGGATGTCCAGGAAAGGAAGACCCCATCCCTCTTCCTGCAGGTGGGCTAGCTCCTCCCAGGACCACCGGCCAGACTCCTCCCGCGTGGTGTACGATGATGTTCCCTATGAGAAGGTTCAGGTGAGCGTGGCTCGGGGGTTTGCCCTCTCCCACCGCTCTGGCCAGGCTATGAAAGATGCCCCGGGGAGCCTTGGCCAGGCTGTGATGGCCCCATGGGTGTTTCAGCACACTCTCCCTCCCATCCCTGCCGCAGGCCGAGGAGGAGCCGGGGCGGCTGGCAGGAGCGCAGGTGAAGCGCCATGCCTCCTCCTGCAGTGAGAAGTCACGGCGGGTAGACCCGCAAGTCAAAGTGAAGAGGCACGCATCGAGTGAGTGGGGTCCCTGGCTGCAAACCTCCGCGGGGGGACCTTGGCCAGCGTGGGAGGATGCTGTTCGCCCAAAGGGGTCTGCAGCCAGGCTGGGGCTGGCTGGCTCTGGCACACGGGTTATGGGTTGTGCTGCACCAGCTCAGCTGGACCTTGGATGGCATCAGTGCAGCCAGAGCCTTCATGACAGGCTCTCCTTGTGTATGCAGATGCCAACCAGTACAGGTACGGGAAAAACCGGGCCGAAGAGGACGCCAGGCGATTTCTGACGGAGAAGGAGAAGCTGGAGAAAGAGAAAGCATCGATCCGCAGTGAGCTGGTGTTGCTGCGGAAAGAGAAGCGAGAGCTGCGGGAAGCCATGAAGGGCAGCACAGGTAGGTTGGTGCCATTGGAGCGCTGCGGCTGGGGATGCTCGAAGGCACTCGGGTACAGGGGGAAAGCTGCAGAGCAGGGGTGGGATGGGGACGCTGGGCTGATGGTGGCATTGTGGCCATGAGCAGAGCTGGCTGCAGCATGCTGCCGGGCTGGCAGCCCCATCTAGTGTCCCCGTCCAGGAGGATGGGTGGCTTCTCCATCCCAGCAGCCTCATGCTCAGGCAAAGCCGTTGAGCTGGGCATGCTTGTGCAAGCAGGGTCAAAGCTGCAGGACCTGCAGCAGCGGGTGGCGGTGCTGGAGGA